GCAAGTTGATTGATAGCTACAAGGGTAGAGAGCGTAAATCTATGTACAATTAGCTGTACCGTACAGCGAAATTAGAAGCGAAATTGCGTCGGAAATTGACCAATTAGAAGCAGCAGAAACGCAGGGATTACGCATATTAAACGCGGCCAATTAGCCTTCTTAGAAGGTCAACACACCCCCCTAGGGTTAAATCGTGCCGAATTGAGCCTGTATGAAGCTCACGATAGGCTCAGAAATCGCCTAAAACGGCAAAGCGTGGTGTTTCCTCCTCCTCCTGCAACAGCTCATGCTCATCGTTTAGCACTTCTTGCTGTTCTCCTTTTAACGGAGTCGAAATATCCACCAAATTCAGCTGTTGAACGAACGCAGCGTGCTTCTGCGCATGAAGCGGCTTTGTGAGGCCGTCTGTAGGCATTTCTGCGGTGGGGATCCACTGCAGCGCTATTTTGCCGTTCTGAATCTCCTGACGAAGCCAGTGGCTGTGTATATCGACGTGGCGCAGCTTGGTGGCGAGTTTAATATCCTCCTTCGTTAAGGCACGGATTGTTTGCAGATTATTGTAATGGATCTTTGTGTGCTGCTATGTATTAAAGCGAATTACATCAAAGAATCTATGCCACTAAATAATCTCTCTGGCAGCAGTAGAAAGAGATAGAAGCTCTGCCTTAGTACTTACCATTATGACTATTTTCTGCTTACCAGGATGCTAATTAATAGGTCCTCTGTATAACTAAAATAGAAAACTATTAGAGCTATAATAAGTAGCTAAATCATTAGTAAAGGTGACGTTACTAATATAGTTAAATATCTGTAAGCTAATACAGCCTAAGTATTTAATTGCTAGCATACACGTGTTACAGAGATAGTAAATAACTTAATTAATAGTAACTATATAAGCTGCGCTCAGATTCTTTAAAAATTACGCTAATTTTAAAATAATATAAGCTATATTAGAGTACAAAATAACAGCGGCAAAATTAAGCGAACTAATATATTGCTAATATACTAGAATTTGCTATATATTCGCTTGTACATTTAAATTCAGAATTAGGGCATTATCAAAAGGCAGTAAAGTCTTTAGCAACTTATTATTAGTATTAATATTAAATTTAGCGGCTATTTTAGTAATATATAAGTCTTAATAAAGTTATAGCTTGTATTAAAGTCTATCTTTATTAACTTAAATACCTAGAAACTATTTTAGCTTACTAGGAGATCTTATTTTAAAGTGCTATAGCAAGTTATGCTTAAATTCCTTGAATTTCTGCTTGTTTTTTTGCTATACAGAATTGCTATATTATTAATGTAAAAGAATAGAAGCAACGAATTATATACAAAGAGGCAACTAATATTAAGGATAAGGTAAAGACTTAGCTCCTTAATAGTTGTGTTAAAATTTATTTACTAAAGTAGCAGCGATTACTTAAGGCTATATAATATGTATAAAAGTAGCTAGATCTGCTAAGAACACTTATAACCCTTAAGGGGTATACAGAATATCTATTTATTAAGTTTATTATTAATAAACATGTTAATAATGTTATATTAACGAATTTCGGGATGAAATACTGCTGCTATAACTATCAGCGCGCGAAGTATATACGCTATAAGTGTTGCAACGTAAGTATCCTACTCTGTTAACTGAAAATCACCTTATACGCAGAGTCTGGCCTTAAATTTGATAAGATAGCTGTCTGTGTTGAATTTGTATTTAAATATTTATAGCAGGGGCAACAGCATAGCAGTAATAGTCTCCTTATTTACTTACTTGCACGTTTCAAGGATCTCTATAACCTAGTTAGTTAATTCGTATAGAAGATAATCTATATCTAGCCTTGCAGGATTATAGAATAACTCTTTATTAAATGTAATATTCCTTATTTATATAATCTTCTCTAGACTTAATATCCAAATTTAATAGATATTTATTAACTTATATCCTATTAAATACTCTACATAAGCTCTTAGCTACAGCTTTTACAAGCGTAGTATGTGCTTATTTAATAGATAGGCTCTGTATCTATGTATATAAAGATGAGCTAGATTCGGCTTCTACTTTAATAGTGATTTGTATAAGGTCCTTTACTCCTGCTGGCGCTTAGGCGTACAATTATTAAGATATCTAGTTGCTTTGATGATTTCTGGCTATAAGCTAGCTGGTAAATTAGTAGTTATACACAAATAGCGCGCTTTCTTAATTATTACTCCCCTAGAGTATTCAGCTATACTATTTTGCTCTAGAGATGTTAGAGCAAAGCGCTTTATAGTTATTTCTCTTTTTGCTATTATTTCTGTATACTTGCTGCCTAATATTCGCTCTTTATCTGTATATATAAAGCTTATAAAGGCGTTATAACGCGTTTTGACTATATTTAAGAATTCTTTAATAATGCTATATACTTATGACTTCTCTTAATATATATATACAAAATCCATACTTATAATAAAGTAGCAGAAGTGGCTAACCTATTTATCATTATTATACTCTACTTCTAGAGGTATCAAGTTATACGCTATATGCTAAAGAGGCTTTTGAGCAGGCTCTGATTAGCTAGAGCATTAAGAAATGATTTTATAAGCTGTGCTTAATGTACAAAGTTTATAATTAGTTCGCAAGGCTATAAAAGGAGCAATAACTGCTTTATTAACGTTTTTCTATAAATAAGAGATAGCCTCTTGCCCTAGATGCCTTAGAATAGCGTGCTAATAATTAGCTGTAGCCTTAATCGCCTCTTTAGGAACTCTGCTACTAGTGGTAAACGTTGATAGAGTGCCTTTTTTGGCTGATAAAGAGTTGAATTCTAATGCCTAATAGCTTCCGGCACGCTTAACGTAGTATAGCGTTTCTCCTGCTTTATGCAGTAAACTCTACTATATATCCTAATAGACTTCTTTTGCTGTAAATTAATGTAGAGAAGCGGTATTTATAAAGAACTCTAGCACAAGAGTAACGTTAAGGAGCTAAATCTGTATTAGGTTATTTGGCGACCTTATATTAATAATAATATAACTAAACGCCTTAATTAGATATATCGACTTCCTTGCTACTATCTTATTATCCTTAATAGCTGCACACTTATATATAAAGCGCTTTAGGTTATTGTAAACGTGCGAATTAGCGCTAGAATCAAGAATCTACATATCTTGAAGCTTATAGCTATCCTAATCAGTGGCGAACGACGTTGGCGGTGTTAATAGTGCAGAATACTGCTTGTTAGAGTCCTCTGGAACTGCTATTTCTGCTTCTTTAATCGCTCTTAAAGCTTATTTGCTGCGCTTTAATAGTGTTTTACAGCTCTTCTAAGAACAGGATTCTTTAATTTCTTACTAATCTCCTTCTGATTATGATCAACAGGACTCCAGCCTTTAGGCCTGTGCTGCTTAATAAGATAGGGGCACATAAGAAACGCATGCTTTTCGCTACAAAGACAGTTAGAGAACTTCTTCATTTCTGATAACGCTCTTTCTGCTGAAGCTGCTAAGTTAGCAGCTAGCTCTAAGGCTTCTTCTCCTTACAACGTGGCAGCAAATAACGTGTGTGAGGATAATTTCGTAGAAGTAGCACAAGTTAAGCGTAGATTATTTCAAAAGCGCTCTACAGCGTTATAAAGAGTTGATATACTAGCCTCTACTTCTAACTTGGAATCCACAAAGACTTAGTACGCGCTTATATACGCAGAATCAACGCCTCTAATAGCTAAAATAAAGTTATACAGGGCCTTGTTATTCTGTATCTCTGCTAGCTGCAGCTTCCTTACCTTAGCGTACGTCATTTCCCATTAGAGAAGCCACTTATTAAGCGCCTGAGTCTGTAGGGCCTTTTTTAACGCCTGATAGCTCTGTGCAAGTTCTAAGCGCTGTGCTTTATCTGTAAGAGCAAGCTGCTTTTTAAGTGCTTTAAGCATTTCGTAAGCAGTATTAAGTCCTTCTAAATAGGGACGCAAATTGCGTACTACAGAGCCGTTTATGAAGTCAACTATTTCTGCTTTCTCATACGTATCACGCAGATCTCGGTACTCTGAACGCAGAGTCCTATAGTGATTCTTCTCCTGACTATCAAGGTCCGCGTATGAGGTAGCAGCCGCTTTGGCGTCTGCATACTGAGGATTATAAGGCTTTGTAGGCTGAATCGGCTGCGTAGCAGCATTGATATCGATCAATTCGAAAATTCCCCTGCTCCGGGCAGTAGATCTGATGACTTCATACCACTCTTTCCAGTCCTTAGGGCCTTTTAGTACCACAGGAGTCTTCTGGATGGCCGTCATTGCGTCGGTGAGTGCGTAATGCACTGTAGATCTTCGATAACCAAGCGTTCTGACGAATGCGCTGCGAAGAGAGGGCCAATTGGATTCTAGAGATAGGATAAGAGCTCTGAATTCGACCAATTGAGTCTATAAGTAGAAATTAGGCTGTGGTCACGTCAACCGGGCTCATAACTGTCAATCTGCTGTGCAGAGTTCGTAGAGAAGCAAGTTGATTGATAGCTACGGGGGTAGAGAGCGTAAATCTATGTACAATTGGCTGTACCGTACAGCGAAATTAGAAGCGAAATTGCGTCGGAAATTGACCAATTAGAAGCAGCAGAAACGCAGGGATTACGCATATTAAACGCGGCCAATTAGCCCTCTCAGAAGGTCAACAGTTTCTTATGGTAAGATGGTGGGCCTCCTGCCAAAACGAAGCGGCCAAGCATTTAAATTTCTTCCGCCCGTGCTCAGCATATGTAATATGAGACGACATTGCTTCACCAGCTACTCGTCAAACAGAATCTGAGCAGAAGATGTGCTTATCACCCTAGCCATCGGTCTTAGTACAAAGAGTATCACGGTAAGGTATTTAATCTCGCATTGCATTCCTAGAGTTACCTATTTAGACTTTGATCGCTACTAAGATATTGAAACTCCAAACCTAAACATTGCAACAAAGCTCAGCTACCTCGTTGATATTGAAGTGGCTCTTGTTGCAAAACCCAAGCACATTTGGGTAGGTAGCATCAAGAAATGATTGACCAATCTCCTCCACGAACTGGTCCGTCCTCATCGGCTCCTCCTGCGCCGCGACGACCACGTCCAGACGCTGAATATACAGGTCCTGATCCTCCTCAATGGGATCCACTCATCCATCCTGCAGAGCGACCAATGATTACTCCATGGAGCCAACATTTCAATCAGGCTCGGCGACAAATCATCCATTCATGGCACCAACAATTCAATCAGGCTCATCAACAAGCGAATGCTCAGCTTCAAGCACAAGCTCATCCGGCTCAGCAAGAAGTCAATCTTCCGCCGCACCCGCAGGTCAATCCAGCTCAGCAACAAGTGAATCCCCATGTCCATCCACAGGTCAATCCGGCTCCGCAACATATAAATCCTCATCCCCGTCCACATGCTAATCCAGCTCAACAACAAGCCAGACAGTCTCGCTCCCCCCCTCAGCACCGAGGTTCTCATTCTAGACAAGGAGCTAGCAGCTCTGACAGTCAATCAGGAACCAGTTCAGGCCAGAGCAGTGGAAGCAGTGCCAGCAGCAGCAATCGCGGCGGCAGTGGAAATCGTGAGCACGCTCGTGATGACAAAGGCAAAGCTCGTCATTGATACAAGGGGGGCTACCGAGGGTATGTCAAGGAAGAAGATCTGGAAAAAGCCGGAGAGCATTTCTGTAAAGCAATTTATTCATTTCGACCTGTAGGAAAGAGCTCGGGTTGTCTGAAAAATTAAGTTCCGTCCCTCATTCACTATTAAAGTCTACATACTTACAATCCTCATTTGCGTCTTCTTCGAGGCTGAAGTACTTGCCAAAGAACGGCCATTTCACGATGATGGATCGCTCACTTGATACCTCCGTGCTTTCAGTTCCCGGAATGTAGAGCAGCCAGCATCCAGACCTTGCATATGTCACTGCAAAGGCCTCTATATCGTATGCCTAATAGTGGATATCGGATGTTGTCAACCTGCTGTGCAGAGTGCATTCAAAAGCAAGTTGATTGATCGCTACGGGAGTAGAGAGTCTAGATCTATGTACAATTGGCTGTACCGTACAGCGAAATTAGAAGCGAAATTGCGTTGGAAACCGACCAATTAGAAGTAGTAGAAACGTAGGGATTACGTATATCAAATGCGGCCAATAGCCCCTCTTAGAAGGTCAACAGATGTGTTTCCCTTGTACAAGAATGGACAAACGGAGTCCGATGGCTCAGATTTGGTAACCTATCCTAACACGTGCAACCGTGGGAGAAACACCAGAAGGAGGAGGGAATGTTGACGAGGTACACGCCATAGTCCCAGGTGGACCCTACTTAGATAGTGGTGCTGGTGTTTTTCCAGATGTCTCGACTTATAAGGCCATGACAGATGGTCGTGGTCTTCTGGCGCACCAAATATCGATATTGGAGAGGGAATGCACAAGCCTGCCCCTCACACTTGTAATTCTCAACAGAGCCTCAGATTAGAGTTCCAATTTTTAAATTTTTCTCTTCTCCAGAATCAACACGTTAGTGTTCACTGATCTGGTGGGTGCCCAGACACTTCAAACTTCGATCGCAACTGAATCCTTGACTCTCGTGCTGACGTCATCACCCTTCTCTAGTATGAACACTCGTTCTAAAGGTTAAGGACTACGGGAGGATTCAAGGATCAACAGATCAAATGGTGATGAATTGTCTAAACCCGGGTAGGCTAAGAATCGACCCCCGCAGTGCTCAAGATCAAGTTCTCTATGATCTAGCGACCACGTCGCCGCTCCTTTCATTCTTACACCATTTGCCCTCAACCCATTGCTGTGTCACGAACAAGAGCAGCCACAGAAAGTTCGGTACCGCAGGCTTATCTCAGGCGCAAGCATATGCGACACGAGGTTGATCTAGCAGTTAAGCACCGCACTGCCACAGCCGGTAACAACCTTGGTGGCGCCAGCGGTGGATGTGGGGTTGTTGGCAGAGTTGCAGTATTTGCCAACATTCTGCAGAGGATGAAAGTCAGTCTTCTGAAGGGGGTTTCGATAATCAAGAAAAGGGCAGTCATGAAGCTCGCGCAGCAAGCACAAGTGATAAAAGCGTGATGTCAAGCAGATCACAGAGCAGGGGTAGTGAGAGATACGGAAAGGCAGAAAGGGTGGCTATGGACACTGGAATTGGTACATACTGTAGTGCCTCTGCAGAAAAGGACGCAACAGCCGTCCCCTGTGGTAGACGACCACCTCCAAGACTTGATAGTGAATCCAGGAATGAACCCTCCACTACATAAGGGATTAGTGACGTCTCGATAGATGAATTTCTGCGATGATTATCGTCCTTACTTGGTGGTCTAGATGTTTACGTCAGCATACGTGTGTCATACTCCAGGACGGTGTGGGTAGGGGAAAGGAAAGAGGCTGGACAGAACTTGGAGGCACATACATAGGTCTTTTGGGTTCCTAGGAAGTTGTACTCGCTGTGAACGTCAAGTCTGTATGCAGAGGCAGCCGAGGCCATAAGACCAGTAAGTACGACGGCGGAGACCTTCATGATTGCGGTGGTAGTGTACGGTATATATTGGAGGTGTGCTTGAGTGTTGGCTAGTCCGTTATTCTGATTGAACTTCTCAGAGAGGAATCTTCAGGAATGCTGTTGAAAATCATTCTGAAAAGGCGATTCCGAAGCCCTTTATATCTTTGTTTGACCCTCTTTGCCAACAAAGGTGGCAACATTCCCACTGTTGCAGGTTGACGATCTCCACTCAGCTCTGGAGAGTAAGACTTTACCCTTGTGCAGTAGATGAAGCACAGCCGACAAAGGTGCCATACTGGATTTTCCAATGGACAGCATATTTCGGTCAGAACGACCTGGTCCAAGGAAAGTTTGCAGACGAAAGCTGAGTGTCTTTGACCATGATAGGAAGGTGCTGGCCAGATTTCTGTGGAGATGTCGATTCACACGGCTTACATGGGGGCAGCCTTGCAGGTGAGGCCTCGATTTCGACTTACGGGTGAGGTCTCGATTTCGATTTGCGGGTGAGATCTCGATGTCGACTTGCATGAGCATGAATATCCCCAGTGTCACTGAATGGGTTACCCTGCCTTATTGGGATTAGTGCAATAAAGCTTCAATTGCCTGCATCAGGCTAATTATCCTAGCTATCCCACCCGCCGGCAGCTAGTATGTTAGGACTCGACATGACTAGACCGATCTAGATGGAACTAGAGTGGGTAAGACAAGGCAAGATCCAAAGGGTTGTTTAGGTAGAGCAGGGAGTGCAAGTATGATAAGACAAGATACTATGATTCAAGTCGGTAACATGAGTTGACTACGAAGACTATGAAACTATCTGGGAAATGAGCGTGCTTATATAGAATAGGAGATTCGTGCTCATGGCTGCTTATCCGTGAGCGCTCGTGAGCGTTGCTCATCCATTCCTCCTCATGAGCGCCTGCTCAGGCTGTTTCTCATCATGAGCGTGTCCTGCCAAGCCCGCCTGGCTGGCGTGGGTTAGTTCCAAGGTCTTTGACTTGTCTAAGTCAGTTATCCCACGCGCCGGTGGTGAATTTGCTTCCTTTTAGCGTGCCAAGAATTTTGGGTCTTGGCATGACTTTTTTTCCAATTTAGAGGATCAACGCCATCAAGGCCAACTTCTACATGGAATTACGCAGGTCACAACGCCAGCGAAAGCCTAAAACTATATGGGAAGAAAAGGGTGCTCCTTCTGCAGCTAGAGACCCCAAAATCACCAATAGAACTGACCGAACGGAGCAGAAAACGGCGCTCAAACCTGTTGCCAGTGGACCTCTTCCGAAAACGCTCGAAATTGACGCTAATCGACTCCCTGATCTCCCTGCTTACGAACCGCCATTGAAATTACGATTTGAGCGTTCAAAATCGCTTCTACAAGGTCTCTCGCAGCTTAATACGTTTCAAAAAAACTCCTTACGCCCTCTATTATTGACAGAATTATTGAATCAACGAACAGCTATACACAAAACGCTCGAAATACGGATTTCAAAGAAGAAGAAGATCCTGAATCCTTTTTTAGACCCTGGAAACCAGTTAATATATAATTAATATTTAGTGATATATTAGCTGTTTACTTTATATAGGATATTATAGGTTATTTAAATATGAAGAACATTAGAGCAAGTCTAGCTATTTAGGTTAATTTATAAGCCTAGTAAGAGATATAAGCAGATTTATTAATATTTTATATTTCAAGATTATATAATTACTCCTTATTAAGAGCATAAGACATTTGTTTAGCAAGTAGAGCTAATTAGATCTATAGTCAAACAAAATTGTAAGGAGAATTAGTATTTAAGCTCTTATTTAGCTATTAATAAGGTTATAATAATCTATAAAGGCTATAGTACTTATAAGGTCAAGCTTCTAAATAAGCTAATTAAGGAGAGCTATAAGGTATAAGTACTTAGCGATATTAGATACATCTATAATTAGTTATAATATAGCTATATTAAAGGACAAGAGAATATCTCTTAAGAGAGCATTAAATTTAATTAAGTTATTAAAAAAGAGCTTATAGAGCTTACTATAACATATCTAGCACTAATGTTTGCCCTTATTATTTGCCTTATATAATATTTATATTAAATTTATTTAATATATATTGTTTGCTTTTTTTTAGGTAATCTTTTTCTAAATGTTAATATTACTTAATTATTACTTGCTCTTTATATTTATTATATAAGTACTACTTACAAAAACGCTTAAGGAGTCTTTGTATAGATTCTAAAGCTAAAGGAGCATAACTATAGCCTTGTTTTAGAATTCTATACTTGTAAAAGTTGTTAATAATACGCTTGTTTTTCTATAACAAAGATAATAATGCTATTATAGGCTATATAACTACTTATAATCTTTAAAATAATATAGTTTTATAACTTTAAAAACGACCTTCTCTTATATTAATAAACACTTAAATTATTCGCTTTATATTTAGCAACTTACCCTTTAAATAGCTCTATATCCCTTGTGCTATTAATAACTATAATCATTATATAAATAGCGTTAATTAAAGTAATTAATTATAGAAGAACTTCACAGCTCACAGACCTTACGAACATCACGTTTGACGCCCTTTATAATACTATATTCTTGATATCTATGTAGTTAACAGCTATCTTATTTGGAAGGGGGATATAGCAGACACAAAGAAAAGAGGTCAACCTATAAGAGCAAGCCTATGCCTCTGCTTAATTGAGCAACTTAAGGCCATAGCTGGCAGCCCTTAGAGAAGCGTCGATACTGCGTATGGTGCAAAAAGAGTGCTCAAGAGGAGGAGAAGAGCAATAGGCCAGCGCTGGCAGAAATCGTCAATTACGTCGCTCCTAAGCGTACGAAGATGACGTACGGAGGATGTAGAAGCTGCAACGTATCTCTATGCGTAAAAGGACCTTGTTTCGAGCTATATCATAGTCAATAGCCAAATAATAGCTTGCTGGCGCTGCTTGCTGGCGCTTTTTACTCGATTTCTACTCGATTTCTGTATGCCAAGCAATTTTGACGCTAAAAGGAAGCAAATTCACCACCGGCGCGTGGGATAGTCTCGACACATAGGGGTCCGTGCGTCTAGCAGGGCCTGTTTGTGCCGTGTGAGTTCACGTGCTGTAACAT